TTAATATTTTCATCAATTAATCAGATGGGTATATTTCTTTGGGTTATTATTATGATGAAGTTCACAACTTTTCTTCAAGATGAAAGGGAAAGATTTTTGTTTTTATTTAAATTGAGTTGGTTTTATATTCTTCAGAGTTTTCAATTGAACAAGGTGGACTGTCAGAGGATGTGATAAGGAAGGCATTTGATGCAACTGAGGAGGAGTTCTTGGACTTGGTTAAGGCATCATGGCCTGTCCGGCCGCATATTGCTTCCGTAGGTTCATGTTGTTTGGTTGGCGTAATTTCAAATGGTGTTTTATATGTTGCTAATCTCGGAGATTCGAGGGCAGTTCTTGGCCGAAGAGCATCAGAGGGGCAGGCTGTTGTGGCAGAGCGATTGTCTACAGATCACAATGTTGCAGTGGAGGAAGTGAGGAAGGAGGTTCAGGATCTTCACCCTGATGATGCACACATTGTGGTGTACACTCGTGGAGTTTGGCGAATTAAGGGCATTATTCAGGTACAAAATGTGGCTTCTTTCACTTCATTGATCCTCTGGCCGGTCTGTATTTCTGTATTGATTAACATATCTAATTTTGACTTATGTTATGAGAAAATTTAATGTGTCCTGGAATATCAGATGACTATATTGATAACAGTTTGATGGAATTTCTTTTTGGCCTACTGTCTTTTCATGATGGTAATAATGTTAGTACTGATGCTCTTCCCCAGTATGTACCATATTATGGAGTACAAAAGTAGAAAGTTTGCAATTTTATTTTATTTTTTCTTTGGGGAAGTTCAAAAGATTTTCATTTCTAAGGGTGAGTTGTTTCAAATCTGAATGCGAGGTTTGGTTCCATGATGAATTAGAATCTGGGGGAACTTGTCCCCACCTGCACCTAAATTTTTTTTGTGAAACTTTGTGATATGAGTATAATAAAAGGGGTGGATTTGCCTTTAATATGTTATTTTTCCCTGTAGTAATACCATATTGTTCCAAAGCATGAACCTCGTTCTTGAAAGATGTGATCCTGCTCTGCTTAGGTGCATTGTTTTGAAGATAACTCTTCAAAGAATAGATCCTTACAATCATTCTTTCTTGATGTCTATGAAGGAAAAGTCCACAATTTGATGTGGATATGGTATTCTCCCTTTGTTTATCGATATCCTTCTATCTTCACGG